CAGTAGTGTTCCAGAAGTGGCACTATCTTGTTGGATCTGTTGCTTTTCAGATTTCCCTGCTTTCACACAGAAAAGGATTAAAAACACCCCCAAGTTTATATGCCAACTTCTAAAGTCTGACCCCCCCACACAGCAAAGGCATGAAAGAAAGTCTGGCCCAAAAGACGTAAAAACCTCCCGAGAACAGTGCCAGGTGACAATTTTAAGCAGAAAAGTCCAAATTTTTAAAAAAGTTAACTCAAGAGAGACACATCTGGAAGTGTATTTGCATAATTACCTGCATATCAATTCAGAATTATCAAGAAGGTTTGGCAGATTCCAGTTTATCCAAGGAAATAATTACAGAGTACTTGCAATGCTAACAATAATTTATTTAATCTGTGATTCCAAATGCTAGCCAGAGGCTTATAATTCAGTTCAGTCAGCTGAAGCACACACGTTTTTGCCACCAAGCTCTGACTATTTAAACTGACAAGGCTATTTTGGTTGCTGTTTTGTGAGACAGGCAGAGAGAGAACTTGCTGCAAGCACTTGGTGATCTTTAACTGCCACATTTACACTCCCACCTGCAGTTACCGGGGTGAAGGGGCCAAAATCACCCCAAGAGTGTGAGCTGGAGAGTTACAGCTGGCTCCTGAAAATCACAGAACAGTCACTTAACCTCATAAGAAATGAAGAAACTCCTTAACTTAATCACGCAGGTTTTTTTTTCTTTCCCTTGCTTTATTCCCTACATCTCTAACTTCATTCCCATCACCTCCCTATCTCGTGCCTTCTTCAGCCTTGTTTCTGCCGCTGATTTGGAAACCCTTGAACTTGCACTAATTCGATGGCAACCGTCCCTGCCCAGAGTCCCGGGGATTTTCCCGCTCTGCTCGGGCTGTAATCTTTCGGGAGCAGGAACCAGAGCTATTTTGGCCGCACAATGTCTGACACGTTTTGGTTGCTAGGTAAACAACTAAGTGTATACACGACGGCGGGGTGAGCCATTCAGGGGACCGGTATAGTTATCTGCTGAGTCCTTTCTTCGCCCGATCACATGGGAATGACTGTGCCGCTTACGAGATAAGGCTTTCACTGCCTCGCTTTGCTGCTCAGGTGAAAGCAAGAGAAGAATTTGACCTTTATGTTTTATGTTGGCCTCTTAGACCGTTAACACTGCATGTGGACACCCCGGTAACCTTGTGTGTGCCTGCAACCCCCACCACGGTGCTGTTCTCATAACCCACTCACACTCCCATAACCCACGCTGAGTAAAACAAGCACCAAGTAATGAAAACAGTGTAAATCAAATCACAGAATCACAGAATGTGCTGGGTTGGAAGGGAGCCCCAAGGATCACCCAGTCCAACTCCTGACCCTGCACAGCCCCATCCCCAAGAGTCACCCCCTGTGCCCCAGAGGATCATCCCAACCCTCCTGCAGCTCTGGCAGCCTTGGGGCTGTGCCCACTGCCCTGGGGAGCCTGTTCAGTGCCAACCACCCTCTGGGGGAAGAACCTTGCCCTGAGATCCACCCTGAGCCTGCCCTGACACAGCTCCAGCCATTCCCTGGGGGCTGTCCCTGCTCCTCCCAGAGCAGAGCTCAGTCCTGCCCCTCCTCTGCCCCTGCCCAGGCAGTTGGAACTGCAGGGAGGTCTCCCCTAAAGCTTCTGTACACGCCAGGGCTACACTGAACCTCCTGCATCGTGACACAGATCCTCGCAAGCCGAGGAAAGCCACCTGTGCACACCATGAGCGCTGCCAATGGAAACGAGCGACACACGGAGCAGATGCTGTTTGCATCGCACCCGGAGGGGAAGAGCACCGAGGCGGGGCAGGGGCAGGAGAAGGAGAAGGGGCAGGAGAAGGAGCAGGCGGTGGGGCGGAGCTCGGCAGCCCCAGAGCTCGGCCGTTCGCTCGCTGCGCCTGGCACTGTTTCCGACCCGCTCCTCGATCCATCGCCTGCCCATGGCACTCGCTGCCCGGGCGAGAACCGGCGGACGGAGGAGTGGAGCGGACCGGGCTCTCCCCCCCTGCCGGGCCGTCCTCCGTGCCGGGTCTCCCCCGTGCCCGGCTGTCCCCCGTGCCCGGCTGTCCTCCGTGCCCGGCTGTCCTCCGTGCCAGGCTGTCCTCCGTGCCGGGTCTCTCCCGTGCCAGGCTCTCCCCCGTGCCCGGCTCCCCCCGTGCCGGGTGTCCCCGCCGCCCCCGCCGCTGGCTGCGGAGCGGAGCGGAGGTGCCGGGAGCTGATGGGAACTGCCGGGAGCGCAGCCGATGGAGCGGCGGGGGCGGGCGCTGCCCACGGCCCCGCTGGCGGAGCGCCCGTCGCGTCACGGAGGGAGGGACCGGCACCGGCTCATAAATAGGGGCGCGGAGCGGTGGAGGCAGCACTCGCTGAGGGAGCTCCGGCAGCGGCACAGGAGATAAACGGCGGGGAATCCCTCACTGCTGCCCTCCTTCCCTTGCCCCGAGGTAAGCGCTGCTCCGCGGGAGGCTCGGCTCGGCTCGGCTCGGCTCGGCGGGGCTGGGGTGCTGGGGCGCTGCGGGTGCTGATAGCTCCTCACAGCTCCTCACAGCCCCCGTGTCCCCGCACAGCCCTGCTCCCCGATGACGCTGAACCGCGGAGACAAGGTGCGGTGCCTGGAGAGGCGGCGGGGCAGCACGCCGTTCGCGCAGCCCCTGCACCGCCGCAGCATGCCCGTGGACGAGCGCGACCTGCGCTCCGCCGAGCCCCAGGGCTTGGTGCGCTGCACCTCCTACAGCCCCGGCGGCGAGCACCGCGACAGCTGGGCCTCCGACTCCTCCGACTCCGTCATCTCCTCGGGCAGCGACTCCGACAGCAGCCTCTACAAGGTGATCCTGCTGGGCGAGCACGGCGTGGGCAAGACCAGCCTGGCGCGCATCTTTGGCGGCGTGGAGGATGGAGCGGACGCGGACGAGGCCGGTGAGGGACCCGCGGCACCTCCCCGGGCGGCCACCCCCTCCCAGACCTCCCAGGAGAATAACGTCTTTTTTTTCTGAACTCTTTTTTTTTTTTTTTTTCTTTTTTCCCCGTAGGAAATACGTACGACAGATCAATTATAGTCGATGGAGAAGAAGCGTCTCTCGTGGTGTTTGATATATGGGAGCAGGTACTTAACAGCTTTTTCTTTGTTTTTCCTCTATGGCTTGGTCCGTGGTTCTCATT